ACAGGTGTTAAGACACGAACGTGCAATGGCCACAGAGGACAGATCCGACAGGAAAACCTCTGAAATCAATAAAAACGCTTTTTTACAGATTATCCGTTAATGATTTAAACTGTGTATGAAATACTTGAAATATCTTTAAAACGATAATGATAAATGAACTGTCATCAAGATAAAAGGATCTTCAAGGTCAGGCGCTGGAAAGGGCAGTTGTTGCCTTACTATTCATTAGAATCAAAGTTATTCAATCATTAAATAAAATAATTGGATTAATCAAAATATTAAACTAATCAAAATAAAGCAATTTGCAGTTGTGTTGTACTTCAGTTTGTAAACGAAAAAGTACTATAATTGTGTTCTCATTACGGAAATAAAGGCAACAGTAGTATACCGCTGTTCGAAATTCATAAATCGATTGAGAAAAAACAAATCCGGGTTACAAACTAAAACTGAGGGAAACACATCAAATATAAGAGGAGAACAAAGACACAACAGAAACACTTAAATGCAACACATACAGAAACGAACTATAAGATAACAATAGCCTTTTTCCTGACTTGGTACAGGACATTTTAAGAAAAAAATGGTGGGTTGAACATATAATTCAAACATTTCATGTCTGTTCTGTTTACTTTTTTTCAAAACTGATATGCATTTGTCTCTTTTTAATTTTAATCATTAGCGGAGTGAAATTGGTTGTAGTGAGAGATCTTAAGACCTAACAAAGAGACAAATAAGATTGTAAATAATGACGTAGATTCTCTGTCACATGAACTTAAAGTTTGGCACAATGCCTTATTACAGAGTAATAAAAATAGTCAGAGCCTAATTGTCAAATTCAAAGGAATATATTGAATATAGTTCTTGAAAAAATATATTACCAAACCTAAAAGTCTTACAAGTGAAAAAATTAGTTAAAAATTACTTCCTATTTTTTTCAACACTACAAATTTAGGGCGTTTATGCAGTGTTGAAAAACAATATGTGAGACTTTTCAATGTTAATTTCATCTAAATAACGATATGTTAACATAGTCCGATGGTCTTTATTCCTGCGGCCTAACGTATCGAGCCAGAACTAAAAATGAATGTCCCAAAGAAAAAATAATTTGCCCTTTGGCAATATGCAAATATATGTTATGATAAAGCACACATTGCCTGAATAATAGATTTATTTTTTTTTAATTTGACTTCATCTTTTTACATGACATGAATCGTTCGAAAGTCTGTATGGGAAAATGTGGTGCGGTCCGATACTCGCAGAAAACTTACATTACATATAATGCCAACAACACAATGTTTCAAGCTCAAGGTGGGTATATATTGTTTTATTCTAACTGAACATCAGTAAAGAACGTATTGCATATCATAGTTTAAAGTTTTGATTATTATTTAAAATAAATTCGGCACTTGAATGGAAAAAGGGGACAAATGTGTCAAAAATCAGAGCTTACATACTGTAGCACTCGGTTTTTATGTTCCATCAAATACTTCCCTTTTTTTATTTACCTTGGAGTTCGGTAAATACCTGGCTTGTGAAAAAAAGTATTAACAAAAATTTGGTAATACTTTTTTCACAAGCCACCTTTCATCAGCCTGTGAACATTTCTGACTCTTTGGTTATTCAGAATGAAAATGAACAGGAAAATTGTAAAAGTTTTGATCAGAAGTCAACAGATGGAATATAATATCACTAGATAGGGTTTGTCAGAGGAATAAGAATATGATATTTGTTATATAGATTTTTGTTTTTGCTAAAGTTTAGGTTGAACTTTTTTAAAAATTATTCATTTGAAAAAAACTAGCTTTTCATTTTAAAAAAAGTGTTTCCATTTGTATCAACGAAACAAATCTTAGACTGTATAAACATCATTTCCACAGATTGCCGAAAAAAGAATTCATCATATTTTGTCTTCTTTGATGTTCATATTTACAGACCATGTTATAAAACATTTTTTCGTTGTTTAGATTAACGAATAACTGTTTCTGCCCTATAAAAACAGTGCTTGAAATACTCTGACAAGGCCATTACATTAGTCATGAATAAACGGAGATTTAAAGTACAGATTCACGAGATGGAAACCAAACGACACAAAAAGACAAGTGGATAGTTGTCTCATTGGCAATCATACCACATCTCCTTATTTTTATTAAAGACATTTAAAGGATGCTGCTATACAGAATTTTGAATATCGGAGACGCCTGAAACTTTTGAAGTAACCTTCTGACTTTTAAAATGCGTGTCTCAATTTAATTCTTTTTCTCTGCACCTAGTTGGCAACATGTTTACGTTTGTTATACATGTATACACGTACAAATGATGTCATCTCAAATATCTTATCCAGTTTAAACAAGCTTATCCCAATTTTATACTGGACTGTGGTCACTACATTGTTACTTTCACATGTAATAAATGCAGATACAATACATAACAATAGACAAAACTTGTTCAAATGCTTTGACACGACGAAAAAACAATCAAATGCTGAAGCCGGTAAACAATATTTTTTTTCTAATCTGAGTATGCAAATTGAGGATTATGATATATACATTATATTTATTACATTAGATAAACTTAAAAAAATAAACATGAAATTCTAAGACCCAATAAAAAAAAATAACACTTTTTTCCAAAACGTTCTAACGAAAAACGGATCATTTTTATGCAAGTTTTTGATATTAAAAAAGTCTAAGCAGTTGCGTATTTCATAATTACCTTCGCTAAAAACTCAGTCTTTCTGCATCTTACCGTCAAAGTTTTTACCCACCCTCATTTTCTCTTCTTTTACTTTCCAAAACCCCTACCTTAACTGCATGTAATATATATTCACCATGATTATATTTTTCTTTACGAAAATTGTATCTGGTTTATACATTGATAGGCATCATACCATCAATAACTGGTAACAACAGGGTCTTTGTATGGCATAACAGAAATAGATATTATTCTTATTTTCATTCTTGACCCCCTCCTCAAACAAAGCACAATATTTTGTATTTGTACCATTGTAAAACTGTTTGCAGTATTCAAAGTTCATGCTTTGATTTAATTCAATTATAGTTTGATTTTATTTCATTATTTGACAAACAATAATCACAGAATAAGACTTTTCATGTGTTTTTCCTTAGATTTATTGCTTCAGGTTATACACTTCGATATTACATTTTGCGGTTTTTGAGGTCAATATAACAATTAATCTTCAATAAAATATCATTTATGTACAGTATGATGTAGTGCATGGGAAGTCCTACCTTACAAAAATTCAGGGGAAATCCTGATTTTCCATCAAACCAGAAGGCGTTAGTTTATTCTACAGCTTTTACTTTATAATTATAGTTAAATGAATGTATATTTAAACGTAACATGAATTATAACTTGATATTAGGATTACTCATGATAAATTTAAATTTACTTTATCAAAGCTTACATTAGAATACAAGACATTGAATTCATTATGGGACGACTGATATATGTAAATTATGTTATGTGTTTTCTGTTTGTTTCAGAGGAGTTTAGTCTCAGTATTATCCATTTAACTTCAATAAAATATTTACAGCTGAAATTGGAAATTTTCTATGAATCAAACAACATTTACTATAAGGACAAAACGAATCCGCCTGTACAAAAGGTGTAAAAAAAAATACTGAACTCAAAGGCAAATTTAAAAAAGGAAAGTCCATAAAAACTGACAAAACCAAACGCTATCAATCAACGGAACAAGTGAAAAGCAACTATCATATTCCTGACTTGGTACGGGCATTTTCCGAAAATGATGGATTAATCCTGGTTTTATAGCTAGCCAAACCTCCAACTTGTATAACAGTTGCTTATAATTCCGTTATATCAATAACATTGGGTAAATAACCAAAAAAACATTATAGGTTAATGTGACAATAATAAGCTTTCATTTGGTATGATTTCATGTTTTACCACAACGCATTGACCATAATACATGAACAAAAATAACATTAAGGAACCGGCAACTACTACAGCCCATCTGGAAGTCTATTAACATTATCATTAACACCTAGCTAAAAAAAACATTAACAGCAATGTACAATCAGTTCTGTTGTTTGAATCAAAATGCTGGCGAATTATTCAAAGTAACATATAGAAGGTAAACGTATTCCACACCTGTCTCCGCAAAATTCAGAAAATCTTTATCAATTAAAATTATAACATCACAGATGAGATAAAGCAAGGACTTTAAAGATGGCTATGTAAATTGGAAGAACATCAAAAGTAGCTCTCAACTGGACACCAGGCCGTCCTCGTACAAGATGTAGGAGAAATGTGGTGGCCGAGTTACATTAGATTTGCTACAGCCCAGGGCAAACTGAGCATGTGGTAAAGGACAGGGAAGAATGGAATAAGCTTGTGATAGCCTTATGTCCCATCCGGGATGAAGAGAATAAGTAAGAAACCGGCAGCTACTATCCTGAATAGGGACGTGAAGAGTTATACATTAATATAAGTCAAGTCATAAAAAGTGTAATTGAATCACATCAGGGATAATATTTTAATGCATTCTTCAATATGTCTAGAAGATACCAGTGTGGTCCAGTACTATTGTCCCTGTTTAACCGTTGAAGACATCCAAAAAAACTATAGAAACATAAGTTATATATTTATTATTTAATCTTTTGACGACACCTTTCGAGAAATGTTTACCGCATGTGCAAAACTTTAAATTTCTTGTCATTTCTTACATTATCTACGATAGTTACCTAACAATATCTGACCACCGCTCGTCTTGTATTGAAAAAGAGCTTTAGTACACCCACTATTTAAAAACCACCGATGATCTGTGTGGCTTAATTGAATCTATCTTATAAATGTTATATATATGTTATATGTGGTAGGTATAAAATTGTTTGATTGTTGTGTAAAAGATTTCCAAACGCAGGGTATCTGATAAGGACTGACCATCACGAATCTTGTCTATTAGGTAACTTGGGTAAACTTAATGTATAATACACAGAATATACAACATCTATAGTTACCTTCTGATAAATCCCTCTTATGCCGTTGATGTGTATTAGGCTGACCACCACTAGCCCTATAAACAAGGGTGCCCAAAACAACAAGTGTATAGAGAATCACTAAAATCCCAAGTTTTAAATAACGTCCATGCCTTTTACAGTGATATCTTTTCATTTTCCGTTTCTTCACAAATCATATAATTACTATAAGAATTATCATCCATATAAATATAGAATGTTATCATCTGATACACATTGTACCCGGTTGATAATAGAAACATCTCAGTGCAAGATCATGTGTTATTACAATTTTATCATCGTTTTATTTAATTAATTCACTGACATAAAGGTTTGCATGCTATAACAATAATTGAAAACGGCGCACAAGTTGTAAAAATATAGCACGACAGGTTGCTACTATTGTTATTGAGGTTTTTTATAGGATTATTTTATATCTATCTGTTAATATAGATACATAATGATAACATTGGCTTAATATTCCTCACAAGAAACGTTCCCGATAAGTTAGTAATTTTACTAACAAATATTAAAACGATATTTGTCATTGAAACATGAGCTAATTCCCCCGCTGAGCCTCAATGATATGAATATCTTCACTTTGATTATTTTCATATTTATAAAAAATGAACTAAAGCATTCAATCACATTGAAGACAACAAAAGATATTAATTTATTTGATAAAAAGATTTTTATATATTTTATAATTACCCAATAGACAAAGAAACCTTGTCACATTAACATAAAATCAATAAAGAACGAACTGGTTAACCAAGACACAGTAATCAACAAGATAACAACAGCTATTTATACCTTATAAAATACGGATGGAGGATGATTTAAAGTGGATATTCTACTGCCGAATTCCTTATACGGTAGAAAAGGCAGGTTTATTTATACAAAGCAATCATAGAAAAAAACATTAATCAAGAATACGAAAAGAGATGTCGTGTACGTCAATGGTACAGTAAAACAACAAGGCCTCTAAAAATATACATCAATTATAGTATCATCCTTAAACATTCGTTTAATTAGATTTCTCAAGTAACATAAGGTTATAAAATCAATGTCTGCAGAGTAATGGCCCTTATACAAACACTTGCATCAATTCCGAATTAAATAATTCCGTCGATGGAAGACTCAAATCAATATACCAATTTATATCACGAGAAAATAGTATATAACTATAGATATATAAGATTATGAATATATCCTTCCCAACAAAATTATTACACATTTTTACTCCATGCTACTTAAAGTAAAACTGTAAAATAAACTGCAAAAATGTGCTTAATTTTAGATCTTGTCATTAATATTTGGAGACGAGCCAAGGTTTAACCCAAAAATAACATTTGCTTCAAGATGTAAAATAAAAAGATGATTATATGTGTAAAAGATCTGTTAGCATAAGGCCTTAGGTCATATCTATATTGACCAAAAATTATGTGTAAAATTACCATTTTAGTTAACTATTACAATTGCGATATGTTTATGACATCACAATAACCCCAATTTTTTTTACCAATTGTCTAAGTTATATAAAACTGTTTGTCAATGAATTTAAAATAATAAGTTAAGGATGTACACCTCTGAGGAGCCAAAAATTTCTAGAATTAAATATTTTTCTTAACCTGATTTTTGGGTTTATATGACTGTAAAAAAATAATTGGTGAAGAAAAAATCATATGGTGGTGCACTTCGTTTTTTGCTACGGCCCTTTGGAAGTACACAATTTCGATGATTTTCTTATTTTTTATCAATTTTTACCTATTTTTGGGCTATTATCGTTAAAAAAATCAAAGTTCCACAATTAAACTTTTTTTCATTTTTTCAATAAAGATGAAGTGGACCAATCTGAATAAATTTAACTTAAAAAAACTATAGGTAGGTGTTAATATAAGAATGTTTTATCATATTTTGATGCTTTTTATGTCAAATTGACCATGCTGTCAATTTTGTAAATTTGTGATTTTTCTCTGTTTTAAGAACAAAATGCATATTATTTCAACTTCTTTGTTATAAATGATTGAAAATATACATATCTAAGAAATATGAAAAGAAAAAAGTGATACGGGATGTACATGTGTCTGGTAAAATCATTTCTTGTACCCCTCACCCATTTTCTCAAAATTTTGGCTCAAAAAACTGACTTGATTGGTAATAAAATTTGTAAAATTGATTACTCAAAAACTACTCATTGCAAATTTTTTCACAGAGTTAAGTTTGATTATAAAATTTTTTGAATTCATTGATATTTTCCACATGTTTTGGAAATAATTCCAGAACGAGATTTCAACGAGACTGAAATGTCAGAGGAATACATCCTTTAAGGATTGAATAGCTTTACAAATTTTGTAATTTTAAGGACCTCCAATTTAACCCATTTTATTTAACCCGTGCTTCTGTGACATTGTGAGACTTCGTCTGCACAGTGTCCAATCACCTAGACCACTAAGCTGGTTATTAACTGACTACTACACTTGTGTTCATAGTTAGAGCGCATTAAATACAAACGGATTTCCTTCGGCCAACTCGGCTATTTACATATTTATACACAGGAAGTCTTAATATTTGTGCAACGATACTGATAAAAACTAGTCACGAATAAGATGAAATCATGTAGCATAGACAAACATATTGGCAACAACAATCAATCTTCTTCAGTAAAAATCCTTTTTTCAAAAAAGAAAATCCTGAGAGTTTTATAGTGTTCATTCGTATAAATACATTTTACTAGTACTGGTGTACAAATCTTAAGACTTGTATTAGCACATACTTACAACTTCTCGTCCAATCAAATTGCTTGAATTTGCCTTCTAAGTTTCATAGTATATATTTTTCCGTGTACTAAGTAACTATGCATGAATGACCACAAGGGTAAGATTTCATTGTATTGTAATCAAGATATTAAAAATAATAAGTGCCTCTGGCTATTCTGGAAGATTTAAGATTTTGTGGCCAAAATTTAAAAAAAAAGTGTTTGTAATTAGATTTCATTGTATTGTAATCAAGATATTAAAAACAATAAGTGCCTCTGGCTATTCTGAAAGATTTAAGATTTTGTGGCCAAAATTAAAAAAAAAAGTGTTTGTAATTAGTTTTCACATTGATTTTCAAATGTCCTGCTATTAGAACCTTTAAACTTGGGCTTAATTTTTTTTTAAACAAGTTTCTATCATTTAAATAATAAATAAACAACATGGTTCTTAATACCTTGATTACAGTACAACGCAATGCTATATGTTTCTTAATACCTTGATTACAGTACAACGCAATGTTAAAATTGTGGTAATTCATCACCCAATGACGACATGCAGTAATATTGTACATAAAAATGTCTGTACGATCAAACCTTGTGAAGGGCAATTCAATCAACTTGATGATGATAATGATGATGATGATGATGATGATGATGATTAGTTTTTGATGTTCTTAAGGAACTTGATCCCCTTCATCATAAGGTAGCAATACACAAGTTAAAATTGACACTCATAATTTTAACCACCCTCTTTCTCTCGCTTTCTAACACATAAGACTTAATGTTTGTGTTTTGTATGTTCATATGTATGAAAACAACATCTTCCATAGATTTTGATTTCCAATAGTTAAAATGGTGGAATATAATCTCTTTTTGGTGTAACTATGGCAACAATCTGCATTTATTTGCTACAAAATATTGCAAAAAGGGGCTGAAAATGTCACAAAAGTCCCCAAAATTTGTTCCAAAGTAGAAATTCAATACATTAGAGTGATACCTTTTCTAAAACCATTGGCGATTATCTTTCAAGAGATCCAAAACAATCATCAGCATTTCGACTCTTTTCTCCATAAAATTGAATTGAAAAGTTCGAGCGTCAAATATTTGTTGAAAAACACTACAATAATTTCTGGACCTATGGCATTACGGATGTGAACATACGGACTTTCAAACATAAATGGCCTATAAAACAATCTTGGTGTTCATTTAAATCCATTTTGAAGGCTATATTATTCTTCAGCTATCTAAAATCAGTTTTATTGCACAATAATTTTCATATTTAAAACAATCACCTTAGCCAAAATGCAAAAGCAAAACCAAACTCCTAACTGTGTATTGCTACCTATATTGAAAACCAGTGAATTGAAAACCCGTTATAATACCTGAAGGGAATGTGCCACTAATATCTTTATTCTGATAAAGCTTTTAGTTTTTACTTTGAATATAACTAGAGGCTCTAAAGAGCCTGTGTTGCTCAACTTGGTCAATGTGCATATTCAACAAAGGACACTCTTCAACATTGAAGACGAGAATAGAATTCATGACAAAAATCTCTGTTGTGTTGATCTAATATTGATGATCATTTAGTCTGTTAAGTTTCTCTCTATCTTCTTTAGTTTTTGCTCAAAACACAAAGGGGGTAAAAAAAATCCTCAATTAAGGGCTATCACCCCTATAAAGAATGACAGTCTACTAACTATATTGGCAAAATTTGACTTGTTAGTAGATCTTGCCTTGCTGGTCATTTTTGTGATTTAAAGTGTCCATTTATCTATTATAATTTTTATCATATAAGGCAGAACGCAAAAAATGGTAAAAAACGTCATAAAAGGGCAATATCCCCAATAAGGAATCGTCGGACGATTTCCTCCATATTGTTTTAATTGTAGATCTTGTCTTGCTGATAATTTTTGCTTGTTTAAGTTTCTATCTATCTATTATAATTTTTAAGATATATGGCATAAACGCAAAAAATTGGTAAAAATCGTCATCAAAGAGCAATAACTCTAATGAGGGATCGACTGACGATTTCGACCATGTAAAATATTTAAATGTAGAACTTGTCTTGCTGATCATTTTTGCAATTTAAAGTTTCTCTCTATCTGTTATAGTTTTCAAGATAATAGGCAAATATGAAAAAAATGGTAAAATTTGTCATTTTTAACTTGAAGGGCAATAACTCCTATAAGAAGTCGTCTGACAGTTTTGACATATATAGAAAATTGGTAGAGCTCAACATTCTAAACATTTTTGGAATATCAGATTTTCTCTATTTATAACGGTTTTCAAAATAATAGACAAAACTAGCATTTTATCCCTATGTTCTAATTTTACCCATTTTGGCCATCTTAATTGGCAGGTGAGATTACCGGACACATTTTTAAAACTAGATAGCCCAATGATGATTGTGGCCAAGTTTGTTTAAATTTGGGCCAGTAGTTTCAGAGGAGAAGATTTTTTAAAAGTTAACAGACGACGGACGACAAACGACGACGGTCGACGGACGCCAAGAGATGAGAAAAGCTCACTAGTCCCTTAGGGCCAGGTGAGATAAAAACACCAAACTTACAATCTTATATTTGATCTATTACTATTTGTTTTTTAAGAA